CTTAGTAATGACGCTGAAGAAGTCACCGGAGCTGGAGGCAAAAGTAACATCTGCGTCAGAGTGAGAGTGTTACTTCCGTGGGCGGTTGGCTGACATGAGCTGCAAGGCAAGGTTGGTCCGCCCCAGTCAGTTAGCCTGAAGCGAGAAAACCACTTTTCGTGACTGAGTGTCAAAGTGTCGAATCGCTGCGGCGTCCACAAACGGAAAAGCCATCAGAAGCTACCCAAGGGTAGTGGGCCGTCCAGATCTTGAAGCCAACCTCATTGATGTGCGATTTGTTTTCCTTGGCCTCGTCTTCGGCTGCAACAATGGAGAAGCCAAGATCAGATGATGTGCACCACTAGACAGCGAAATGCTACTTTGCCCGGCTCAGACGAACCGTCAATGTCGATCCATCTGTGTATGATTGAGACATATTGAGCTCACACACGCAAGCCGCGTCCGAGGATGGGAATTGGCTGAGGGTGGGGTGGGTGAGCTCGTCCGTGCTGCCTGACGGGCTGTGTGAAACTGCAGCGGGACCGCCCCGGATGAGTTCCAGTCGGCGGGGTTTCATGTGGACATCTCTGTTGCCTTCTCCTTCATGTCGAGCAGTCCACCAGACGCCTTACAGTGGCTGAGATGATGCCTCTAACGGACACAGAAGAATGTCAAGATGCCGCACCAGACGGATAGTTAAGATGATCAAGATATACCCGCTAACGCCTCTTCACGCCCAGCTGCAGCTCCAAACACAAGCAAACATTGTCGCAACCAAGTGGGCAGCCCGATGGCCACGTGCACCACGTCTGCAAAGCCATTCATGATGAGGAGGCAACATTTCGTCCGGCAGCCAGGGGAGGAGAAATGATGGGGGTCTTGCGCCCCATCGGACAAAGTCGTCTGGCCTCCTACCTGCAAAGCTAAAGTCCAGCCAGTGGAGACGAACACTCTTCGGAGGTCTGGGGTCTAGTTTCGGGCCTGGCTGACAAACTGCCAGCAAGTTCCTCTGGAGTGGCACAGACAACGACAAAGAAAGGCAGATTGGACAACAAAGTGAAGCAGGGACCATGAAACGCGCAAGATGCCCTTCAATCACTTTGCTGTCTACTTGGTTGGGTTGTTGATTGGCACACCATCGAGTGCTCTTCTCTTGAACGCCGTGCAAAGTGAGGCGTTGACTAGACATCTCTGTTGCCCGTGAGACATCGCCTGCGGAGGGTACCCGAAGTAGAGGCAGGTACTCTGCACCCCCTCCCTCCTGCCGTTTTACGAAGGAAAGCTGGGCCCCGCGGCCAGCACACCCACTGGGCCCCAACCTGAGAAGGGAAGCCCCCAAAGTTGGCCAAGTACTGTGCTTGTATCTTCTGCAGAATCCCTCCCTGGCTAGCCTCCAGCTGGCGGCCCATCCTGCACCAGTCACAGACCGCCGAGGCCAGCTGCGAGGCACGGTACGGCGGCCGGCACCCTCCCTGTCGCAGCGCACTAACAGCCTGAGTACCCACAGCTGGTGACGGTGGGAGGTGCTGCCAGCAGTGAGTCCAGCCCAAACGAGGGTGGGTGAGTGTGGAAATAGTGACTGTATCCACTCCCCTCACCCACCTCTTGCTCCCCGTCTGGTACGACGTGACTTCCAGGCCCATGTCCCCCGTGCCTCGTTCCCGCTCAATTGTCAGGTACCTCCTGGCTGACCCGCCCTGCCTGCCTGCGTGCCAGTTCCCTCGGATCCTCCTGACCTCACCTCACCACTTTACCTCCTCCTCCTCTATCACCCTCTTTTAGGACTCCTCACACGACCTGGCCCTTCACTCGAACAGCCTGTTTGTTCGGTGATTCACCTGGACCGTTTGTCAGGCTGTTTGTATTGTCCAGCCAGGTGGCCAAACTTCAAGCCCGACAATCCACTCCATTGGCCTCTTTGTACCAATACCTAGACACCCCTTCGACTCGTACCGACAATGTGACGGCCGAACCTTCAGAGAACCTTCTCTTTCAACCAACCTCTTGAGAGTCTGAGCCTCACACGATCCCACCGATTTCTACCATACCCATCCTCCGAGCTACAACATATCCACCCCGTATTTACGGGAATCGCAACCTCCCTCTGAATTCCCCAACACAACCTCACAATGGCCTCGCTGAAGGTCCCAGATGCGGGCCTCCAGTTGGAGGGCTCCGCTGACGCTTCAGTCGGCGTGCCCACACAGGCTTTTGCCCTCAGTCTGCCTGACAGCGTTATTGAGGACATGATCAGGTGTGTCCAGAATGGCGAAGACATCCAGCTGTCTTTGGGCAACAGCCCGGTAAGTGCCCCCTGCTGGAAACAACATATCCATTCCCTTGCCCTTTGCATAATTACATTGTCGTGCAAACTGCCATGACTACATCGGTCGTTTGCTCGAACGAAAAACAACAGGCTACGCAATTGGAGCTTGTGCTGCCATTCTCTCCTTCTTGCTTCCATATCTTCCCTGAGGCGACGAGTCCTGTGGGGTACCATAACTAACCGCAAGACTGTTATAGACTTTCCTGTACGGTTTAGATTCCTTCACGCCTTCACCGATATCCGATCCCGCGCCCGCCGACATTTTCCTCACAAAGCCCTTCGAATCGACCAAGATCGCCTCTCGAATTCCAATCACAACCTCGCTCTGGCAGAAACCGAGCTCTCCACGATCTGATACCAGCGAACACAATGCTTCTGCGAGATCCAAAAACCTTGCTTCATCCTCAGCATCTTCTGCTCTGGACTCTGATGCAGAAAACCTACAGAACTCTATGGCAGCAGCGGAGGCATCGAAGAAGCAGTACGTTTCAGGCGGCTTGTGGCAAGAAAGCCTATTTGGATGGTCACTAACAGAAACAACAGCTCACGCATTCTTGAGAAGTCGATGCCTACGCAAAAAAAGCCATCAGCCAAGGCGAAATCCAAGTATCTATCGAGCATGGCTTCATATGGTACAGGCGGCTCTCTACCGTCTTCCCCAGCGTTGACAGCGGTGGGGTCTCCATCTCTTAACCAAGGCTACGGTGCTTCACAACAATCTCGGGACAAGGCCAAGGGTCAGAGGACCATGATTGTCCACGAATTAGCCGCAGCAGATCAGTCTTATGACTTCCTGGATCAAAATGGATGGCAAGGCGGACGACTTCAAGCTTACGCTCGAAAAGGTTGCCGACTTCGACAACAGTGCACAAAAATGGATGCTAAAGAGACTTTACTGGAAAGAACTGGACGTTTGGAGATATGACTACGACAGTCCTGACGATAGGCAAAAGGCTATCGACAATGCCATTCGGGCCTTCGACAAGATGCGGTTGGGAATTGAGGAACCCGAATGGCAAAAGCTGCTGCCCAAAGATGAGCGTGGGAAGGGAAAAATCCTGAGCAAACTGCAAGCCAACATCGCCAAAGGCCCGGCTGTGCCAACACCGAAGATCAAGGTTCAAAAGGCCGACGATGGGACAAGCGATGCGGGCGGCGAAGACACACTCAAGATCGATGATGGAAGGAGTTCGGTGCGATCCAACTCATCGTTGCCGGGGAAAAAGAAGGTCAGCAGCGCCGATGCACAAGTCAAGAGGCTCTTGTCGAACAAGCCCAGCAAACCCAAAGCAGCCCCGGCAAAAGCGCCAGCCTCCAAGTACGCGAAGGATAGGCCTTCATCGTCTGCACCGGTAAAGAGTGGCAAGGTGCTCTCAGCGGGAGTTCATCTCAGACTCCGATTCAGAGTCTTCAAGCAATAAGCCGATGGCAAGTGTCTCGTCATCGAAGACCAAGAGACCATCGCCGGCCCCGGCCCCGGCTCCTAGACCGAAGGAAAAGCCAGCCCCAGCATCGGCCCCGGCCCCGCGACCAAAGTACCCTCCTAGACCGAAGCCTGTCGAACGGCCAGCTGAGCCGTCAAATGAGCGACTAGTGGATCGTGAGCCCACAAGGCAAGCCAAAACACAAGCGCCGGTCAAGCGGCGCAGGGACGAGGAACCGGAGGAGAGCAGCTCAAGTTCGGGCGCGCCGCTCGCCAAGCGTATGAAGCCGAAAATGTCAACAACTGGCGAGAAGGCACCGATCAGGCCTCCAACGAAGCTCAAGCAGCGACCCATCCCTGCGGACACGACACGGAACTCCTCAGCCTCGAACGGCAGTCTCCCCTACAAAGCCACCAAGAACACTTCGCCGACCAAATCTTCGCCATTGGCCTCCTCGCCGCCAACGAATGCTTCCGATCTCGAGCAGCGGCGCCAGCTCCCTCCGGATCTGGCCCCCATCAACCGGAAGCGCAAAGTTACTGCTGACACTTCTGACGATGGCTTGTCAAGCAAGGGTAGCACCACTAGTGCCGACAGCAATAAGCGATACAAACCCATTGGCCAGGATCTTGTTCGCAAAGCACACAAGTTCAAGATGTTCTATGAGAAGTACGCATCGCTGCACCGAGAGATTGCGAGTATGGACCATCCGCCAAAGGATCGACTGGCCGATCTGATCGATATGCGACAGCGGTTACAGAACATGAAGACGGACATCTACAGAGAGTGCCCGCCTGCCATCGCGGCAGTTTAGAAGTGATTTCTGTAGGTACAATGAGTGTACGATGAACGGCCAAGGGGTGTGCGGACAGCGTCATGAACGGACCTTTCAAGAGCGCCTCAGCTCAAACGAACCAAAGCATCAGCAACAGCGTTTTGTTTTCTTTCATTATTTCTTACAGTTTAGTGGGGCATTTGCATCAGACCAGGATAAGGTCAGGATATTGGCGACACCGGCTAAGGCCCAGGTCATTCTGCTTTTTGATATTGCATGGACAAAATGGCAAGATGGAGCCAGTAGCTGCGCCTGGGGACAGGACAGCGCAAATCCACGTTCTCTCTACCTCTTGATACCACAAGTTGTCATAGTTGGACAGACACAATATGCCTGATTGAATTTAACGGAAATGCTGATTTGTGAATTCGAAATCGAATCTTTTGGTGGCACCAGTAGTACTCTTTCAAACCCCCTCAGTGAACGACGAAGGGGCATTCATCGCCCTAACCTAAGACAACTTTCCTCGTGACGACATTACCGCAACTTTTCTCCCTGCATCCACCACATGCGGAAACACGCACCGTTTAGTGTTAGCCCAATCTTCAGTTTTCTGCTTCTTCTGCTTACTTTTACTTTTCTTCTTTCGCCCCGTTTTTTCTCCCTCTCCAAAAAAGCGCCTTCAAGCTGGCACGAGACATGGTTGCAAGAGGGGAAATCATCTTTGGCATGCGGGTGGGAAAGTGGCCAATCGGCAGGGCGACGCGGATCGGCGTAGAGGTCGTCGATCAGGGAAGGGGGGGTGGATGACTGCCTGCCGGGCGATCAGGGCATGGTGCGGGATCGTTGGGGGGTTTCTTGAAGGGGCCCAGCCAGGGTGGAAAGGGGGGGGGGGGTCACAATGGCGGTGGCACCAGCTTACTTGGGCCTCCTTGGTTTTGGTCCTCCTTGGGTTTGGTCCAGTTTCGTCTGAATTGTTTGAGCTTGGTGGGTTTGCGTCTGATGGTATATTTGATTTTGAAGAAACCTTCACGCATAACTACGATGGCTCCCTGCGCTGGGCTTTAAGTGCACTGGCCCTTGGTGGCGAAGATCCCTGTCAACTGGACGAAAGCACTTGAGCGAAAAACTGAGGATTGACTCAACGACACAAACACGAATTGAGTATGAATGATGGCCATGCTGGGGAAAAGTGCGATTGATGGTCTCTGATTGACAATCGCGCCACCTGCGATGCAGATGTCAAACCGCGATCAAAAAATCACTATGCCGAATGGCTACTGAGAGTCAAAAGGCAGAGCACCGTCGATTCGACCATATTACCGTCATGGTATCGCCATTTGGCTTGTCCCCTCATCCGCCATGGTCAGCAGCAGCTCGCCCATTTCACTGCAGCGACGACACATTGGTTGAGACCGCATCTTTACGCACTGCAGGTGCCGGATCTGACCATCGGCGCGCCTGTGGTCCAGCGGCTCTCGTAGACGACTTTTTTTCTTTTTTTGATAAAAGCAGAATTAACATCCGTCACAAGTCCATAATCTCTTCGGTGTCGACTATGCTCCGGGCGCCCTTCGACTCAGAAAACCGCCGAATGCATTCTGGGATCCATTCTCGCGCTCCATCGTGGGCTCGCACAAGGCCCTCCTTTCCCCCCGAGTATGTCTTGCACCGCGACCGAGACGCACGTGAAGGTGGCGATGACAACATTATCTTCGAACGCGCACGCAACAAAGCCCCCGAGTTAGATAGTCAGGCAAAGGTAGTGTCGTTGCAGGTCGGGCTTCGCCATCTGAGAGACGCTTACGTGGAGGCCAGCAACCAATGTCAGGGAGCCCTCGACGGCTTCGACACAGCAACTCAGATGGTTGCGTCGTTCGTCGGACCAAAAGCAATCTGCCAATTGTGGCAAGATTATCTACGACACCAACACAGTACTAGGGTTGAAATGGACGCTGCATTGGATGGTGTCAACTATTGTCTGCTCAACTTGGCACAGCAGCGTAATCGAATTACACTGCCCAAGCCGTTCGGCAAGCACCTCTGTAGAATAGTCAAGAGGGGACAACATATCATAAGGGACTCTGCCGAAGCCAAGACCGAACATAGGGCGGCAAATCGGCTCGTCATGAGTATCAAAGCAGCTGCTGCTGACGTCGATCCTGACTCTGAAGCCAACTATCGCATGTTGTACGCTGTGGATGCGTCACTTATCAGACAGAATCATGGCGGTCCAAAAACGAACAAGTCCCTGGAGGACGAGAATACAGATGCCAACGATGGCAACCCGGTTTGATGAGACGAGTTGCGGAGGAGCCACCGTCAAGTGGAACGAATCAAATACGCTTGTGGAAACAAATTTCGACAAGAGCCACTGTTTGTAGTTTTCGAGAAATCGCGAGACGTCAGCGAAAAGGAAGCGCGAGTCACATCCGTAATGTCAAAAAAAAAAAAAAAAAAGGGCAGGGAGTCGGACGCTGTGATGTCGAGGCCATGGCTATGTAAATCTAGGAAGACTGCGCCGCACTCATTCATGCGGTCAAGACAATTAGTAGTATTCCAGAATCGAGAGGGAAGAGTGGCGTGGTGATTTGGAGTAACTGACCTTGAAAAAAAGGACCAAGCATCGCTCTCTAGACAGAATGATCGGAATCGAGTTTTAGACGACACCAGCTGGGCAAAGCCCAGCCAGTGACCCCCAAGTCGCGCATCGCACTCAAGTACTTTGTACAATCTCCGCAACGGCTTCCCATAGGGATCACCAGGACGCGCCTCGTCGTTCCCCCAAGGGGTAATACACGAAGCGGCCTGGGCCCTGAGATTTCTGATGCCTGTTGCTGACGCCGATGGCGCCGAACCCTCACGGGCGGCTCGCGTCAGCCCGCGCGTGGCAGGTGACAACGGTATGTTCTTCGTAGAGATTTGCTCCGAATTTCCCGCATGCAAATGAGTGTCCCTTGAGAGGTCGACTCGAGATTCTGCTTGCACAGAATCTCTGTTCGTCAGCATGGAAGCGCAACTGTGTCTAGAGGGCGATGCTTGGTGAGGAAAGAAAGAAGGTGGAGGGAATGGCATTTTCGTAGCTCCAAACTTTTATTGCGGTCCAGTGTGGGGTCTCGCCTGGGCCGTGACTCAAGGTGCCTCACCTATGATGGCAGCCTCGCAGGTCAGGCAGCCAATCGGGAGCTGCAATGCTATCAGGCCAAGAGGGTAGGAAAGAGTGAAGGGTCCTTCATGATGCCCCCCACCTTCCCTTTCCCCTCAGGGCACCCCGCATGTGGATCATAGCACGAAAAAGGGGTGTCGATATCGTGGGTTTTTTTTGGTGCGATCCCGTCAACCAGCGACGAATTCTTGGTTACCCGTTGAAAAACCCCACCGTACTCATGAAGCTGCATTGAGGGTGTCCTATTTGATTTATATGTCGTCGACCTTTTCTTTCCTTATCTCGATGCCATAATCATATCATTTCAGTCTCAAACCCCTACGTCATTTGAGTCGTTGGTACCCAAGGCAGTCAGGATGCTTGAACCCAAGGACTTTCCTCAGATGTGGCAGAAGCCTTCAAGCCAAGATATACGTTCCTGTTTGCAGAGCCTGGAAATGAGCCCAACCATATGGAGCCATATGAGTCGTCAGCCACAGGTTGAGGAGGACCAAGAGGCTACATCATATGTGCGACGCGAGATGTCGATGTATCTTTCCTCCATTGTCAAGAGTGGATTGACCTGGATCGATGACGAAGAGGAGAAGGAATTCATCTGGTCAGAGGCGAGCCGGAGATTATCAGAGCGCTGTGGCAGAACAGGTAGGTGCGTTCCCCTTCTGCATTCCAACCATTTTTGACAGTTCTAGCCATGGGCGAAATCACACGTCGTTGGCCCTTCAGGGAAAGCGAACGACCAAATAACTTCGAATTGATGATCCGAGAGCCGCCGCTGACCGGAGATTCGCTCGGACACAAGACATGGGGCTCCTCCTATGTACTCGCAAGGCACCTACCACAGCTAACGTCAACTTCGCTGGCTCGACTATTTGCCGAAAGTCATGAAGGGTCTCGGCTTACAGTTCTCGAGCTTGGATCAGGGACAGGGCTTCTCGGGATTGCTGCAGCAGCTTTGTGGAGGGTCGACATTGTGCTGAGCGACCTACCTGAAATCATGGCCAACTTGCACCATAATGCTGATGTGAACCGTTCCGTTGTTGAGTCTCTCGGGGGCTCGCTGAATGATGGTGCCTTGACATGGGGTAGCACATCCGAGGATGAAGTCGATCAAGCGCTGTTCGGGGAGAAGAATCAGTTCAAAGTGAGTTCACACAGTCTTGTCGCACTCATCAGCTGACAACGAGCGAAGATTGTTCTGGCCGCGGACCCAATGTACGACGATATTCACCCTGCTCTTCTCGCTGGCGCGTTTTCAGAGCATCTGTCATTCGACAGCGACTCGCGAGCTGTCGTTATGGTTCCATTGCGTGACGAAACGACCAGGAACCTCCTGAAGACCTTCAGAGCCTCTATGGAAGCAGGCCCTGACGTATTGCAATGCATAGAGGAAGGCACGCTCGACGGTCAGGATGACTGGGGCGAGGGCGACGACAGCTCTTTGATTAGTTGTTGGTGGGGGATGTTTGCTCGCGCCCAGACAAACACATAAGGACGACTGAAAACAAATTAACAACCTACCTGAAATGGTTGAGTTTGTTGGTGGAGAGCATTCCTATATCCCATCGCCCCGGGCAGAATATTTACACCACGGCGCGAGGGCTCTCAATGACGTACGCTTCCCTTCTCAACCAACACCGAGCACCTGCCAGCATTAAAAGATATCTTTCTGCTTCAACCTTGCAACCGCGGTCTGAAGAAACAAAGAGAATGGAGCCGCGTAGCAAACCTGCCCTGAGCCGACCACCACCCTGTCCTATCTACCCCTTTTAGTCACGACCGACCTTACCACGCCCTGTGCGACCTTCTCACAGTGCAGAATACCATATCAAGGACAGCCCACTGGTGATTCACAATACTGGATTCTCGTCTATAAAGTCGAGCAGGTCATGGATCAGACACGACTTCACAATTCTGCAATCATGCATACTTTGCACATGACTGAAACTTTACATCCAGTCTTTGCATCCCAAACAATCACAGCGTTTTCGAAAATAAAACCCCGAGAGATTCAAACGGAACTGAGCAGCATGGCTGGCAAGCCAAGCTATACAAGGAAACAAATTGAGTTTGTTCTCATCCATATTCTCGACAAAGTAGCCCTGCATAGGATCATCGATGCCTTTAAGGAGACATTTGGCCAGGATGTGACCATTGGGCAGATTAAATATTTAAAGAGCAAGTACGGCAAAGATCCAGACTTCGGGTAAGAAGCGGATACTTCTGTCATCAAAGATCAAAACTCACACGGAATACAGGTCGCCTCTTCTTGAAGGACGTGTGAGGATAGTGGAAGAACTGGCAACCTTGTAAGTTTGTCCCTTGCGTCATTTTTAATAACAAGCTCTATCATTTGCATGCTCAATATTAGGACACAAAAGCTGACAATTGTTCAAGGCGCACTCCAGCAGATGCAATTTTTCCTTATCAACCATGCCAACATTCGGGGTTGTCTCAGAGGGCAAGTGAAGAGCAGAACCGGACAGGGCATGGACCATGGAATCCCTGTAATGGTCTTCCAACTCCTCGTGTACCTGCTGAAAACTTCTCCCTTACGGATTATCAAAAGACCATCACGGAGCAAACAGGCAGAATGGTGTGTGCTGATGGTTATCACCCTGCTCGGCAGCCATCACAACCTCTTCATGCTAACACATCTATGGATCATGGCCCGTATTGGACCAACAACTTGCCACAAGAACTTTCCGATCCCTACAAAATCATGAGTCAGTTTCCGCCAAGGACCAGAGATACAGGAGATACAAACCCTTCTAACTATCATCTTTGGGCGCCGAGAGATGACCAACTGCAGCAAGTCGGGGTCACTTCGCCAGTGTCTCCAACTTCAAATGCCTCTGATTTACCTGACAGGCTCATGTCCAATTTCGAGCATTGGAACGCCCAAAAGAGCCACTATCAATCGTCGCAACAAGGATATGGCGATCAAATTGTACAAGGACACAGTTGCTTATTATCCGGCAACTCGCTGTCGTACACCTCACATAATACGGACGGACCGGAAACCTCGTGGGATACCGTCGGAAGTCCTCAGCAGGGACAGACCATGCCCAACGGTCAACTCAACAAGACCCAAGACAGCTATCAACCATTCGCCTCTCGGCAGCCATCTTCGAATACCCCACGACTCAGTCTGCAAGATGATCCATGGCCTGGTCTTCCGTCAGGGGCTCAATCTCAACTTTCAATTTGGCCCGCACCGCAGGGCTCTGAGGATCTACCACCTCCACCTTACTCTGAAGATCATCCAGGGCTGGGAAACACAATTACAGCTTCGCATATCAGTACTACGGGATCGATCCCCGATGGTATAGACAATAGTCTGTTCAATAGTTCCTTCAACTCGAACTTAACAGCTCACGAGACCCAAGCCTTACAGCTAACTATCGACGTGCCTCAAGCGATGCCCGACGAAACCAGCAATGGAATTGGCCAGTGTGGCAATACATTCCAAGAGACCGCCGAATACAAGAGCCACGATGCGTCAACCACCGACACGAATGTCGACCAGCAGTCAAGCTACAGCAGCGATGCTCTAGAGCTGGTTCGCCGCACCCACGACCACGCAGCCTCACGAGGTGTTGGGGAGGGCTGGAGTTTCTTTGACGAGGCGGTGGCGTTCACTGATTCACGGAAGGGGAGCATTGGTGAGCATGGCAATCTCGACGAGGCCGATACGCCCCTCGCAGCGGCTTTTACAGATTCCGAAATGGCTGGCGCATACATGGACTGAGCTGATGGGCGCCTGTTATGCGTGGCGGGTGGCGAGTGGGGGATAGGGCAGATATTCACGGCTGAGGCATCTCTAACTCTCAAAGCATGAGGTAATGATATCAAACACTCTACTCTTCATTCTGGAAACCTCGCAGTAAAAAGACGGCCCCGGTGATGCAAAGTTACGACCCTTTGACTCACCATTGAGCAGCGTCATCTGTTCTAGTTGCTACGATATCACAATTTCACATTAGTTGAAAGGGGTAAAGCACCGACTTTTTTAAGCCTGATCGTGTTCATGTAATATGTTCAACTCCGACTCATCTACCAATTCATGAATAGAAGAACGCTCGCTGAGGAAGTCGTCAATGTTAGTTCGTATGGACAGTCCTTGTCCCGCATGAAACGAATGATGGTAATATAGAGGGCCTTCCTCCGAATTTCAACAGTCCCGCCGCCGCTGCCGAGCGCCGCCAGAGCCTTTCAGAATGGGTATCTAGTGCATAAGGTAGAGAAAATGGAGGTGATTTGCGCAGAAAGGAACATTAGCATCCTTTGGAAGGTAATATTTCCAGATGGTCTGTAATCTGGAGCGAAGGGGATGGCTCGTCGAGGGCAGAGTAGCTGAGATGCAGAAAGTAGTACGTTCCCATCAGATCGCGATGCTTACGCTCTTTCTTGTCTCCGCCTCTTCAATAGGGAAACCAAAGACGAGTCGGAACAAATCTTTGAGGAAAATGTATTGTGAGGACCGGTGTGCCATGAGATTGACACTCTTGGCGACATCAGGGGCTGAGGCCCTTTTGCCCCTGGCGGGTAAAATAGCTGCTGGACCTCTGAAAGCAGCATCGCCAAGGACGGAGTTTCGATAATTTTGGAGCAGTGTTGCCTGTGAGGGAATGTTTCCGAACGATCCGTTAGGCAGTTGCTTCACGAAGGACTGTAGTGCTGAAGTCCCAGTCTTGCCGTCATTGGTGGGGTCGCGAACATAGCCGACATTCATGGCTGCTTTCAGCATCAACGCTTTGATGCGTGTAACATTTATATCTTCCCCAGCTGTCGCCGTTGTTGCGGTACTCGAAGTCTTGGCACTGGACTGGGAGTATGACGATAGGTTTGATGCGCTGCTAGACCACCTGCCGCCGCGGCCTGATTCGGATGTGGTGCCGAGTACAAGGATATTGGGCACTCTGGGCGACTGGCTTTCAGGCGAGATCGGGGTGTCTTCGAATTCTGTAACTGGAGTCTCAGGAACTGGAGGTGGTTTGCGGGGCCGTTCATCAACTAGACTTTTGTGGCTCTTTTGCGTCGAATGCAAGGAGGAACGATTCGAGGTGCGGCTCTCACGCCCTGAGGGCTGTTCGTTGACAAAGAAGCTTGTTTGGCTCGGGCGAGGGGTATTGCGGTCCGGTCGAACTTGAGTCCACCCGTCTCGGAAAATATCGCACAGATCCCAGCAAGCCTGTACAGCCGACCCCAAGAGTTCCTCGTCGGGAGCTTTGCCGTCGCGTCTGTTTTGTCTCAAGCTGAACAGCATCTCTGCCAAAGTCCAGCAAGCCTTGAGTAGAGAGTCTGTCTCCTCTGCCAACTCGCTCCGTTGCTTCATCAGCCGATGGCACAAGGTTATGTAGAAGTCCAGAGTCCTCTCTCGGAACTCCTCCGGAAGGTTTCGGCTGTCTTGGGCGCTGTATAGGCTGTTGTTAAGTCAGCAGCCACTCTCGTAACAAGCAGTCATGTGGGGGCACGTACTGGTTGTTGAGTTCGAAGCTTACGCGGAGAACCGAGTCGGCAATCTCTTCTTTCTTCTGCCGAACATCGAACAGCGACTGGCAGAAATCGCGGCACAGGTCTAGACTCTCGCGCACATTAAAAGACACAATGTCTTCGTCCCTGTTGTCGTACAGTCGTTGGCACAGCCTCCAACAAGCCATCCATGCCTTCTCGTGAGCATCGGGAAGGCCTGAGCTGTTGAAGACACGAGCTCTATGAATTGAGCTCAGGTTTGCCAGCGTGTTGCAAAGCGTCCAGCATTCTCTGAGTGCCGTCCGGAGCGCCTTGATCTCCGACTCTTCTCTTGGTAAACCGGGTGTTGCAAAGGTCTCATCGTCATAAGGCTCAGCCTCGGTATCTGTCTCCCTAATCTCATCGATTTCTGTACGTTGTCAGATGATAGGCCGCCAACACGAAGACGAATACATACTTTCAAGGCTGCTAGTACTGCTTGACCTCAGTCTTGAAGACTCGCTCAGCATGTCCTGCAGGTCCTGAGCTCGAGGCGTGGCACTGTCCAGACTGTACCTTACAGCACTGATATTGGTCGTCAGGGGAGGTGGGTGAGGGAATGTGGGCGACTGTCGAAGGTAATTAGTATGAGCCGAGTAAATACAGGAGCCCTCAAAACACTTACCCTTAGCTGTTCCTGCGCATGTGTTGGCAAAGCGGTGGTATCCGTCTTGGGCGATGATCTAGTGCTGGTGTGCTCTGACTTTGTTGTCGGCTCAGAAGAAGTCTGCCTCCGTTAGTAATTGTGGCGAACACAGAGTGGTGTTTGCATGTAGCCCACCCATGCCTGGAAGCTCTCAGGAGCGTGTATCACGGAGACTGCTTCTTCGGTTGTCGGCTGTCGCAGGTGATCGGGCAAATTCGTCGCCAGCATTCGAAGCTACTAAGTATGTTACTAAGGAGCTCAAATAAGGGAAGTGGAAAGAGCCGACCTGTGGAGGAGACGATGCATGAGCCATGATGTGGGCATCATTCTCTTCCGCTTCTTCATCCTCGATCTCGGTTGTTTCAGTTCCGTTCGAGGTAACTGGCGAGGGGCCGACGATATCACTGGGGCTCATGAGATTCATATTGCTGACGGGAAGCCTTTGGATGGAGCTCGGTCGCAGGGAGTTGGAGTACGGAGCCGAGCGATCTGAGCTCGCCGAAGACCTGTAATCAGGTGTTGTCAGTCTTGTAGGCCATATCATGACATCGCCACGGCGTTACGAACATGCTGATGAAGGGCGAGTGGGGAGCCTCCGAAGTCTGGCGACGAGACAGACATGTCTTTGTGATGGTGAGAGAACCCCGAGAGCTGGCTACCGATGGACGATCGCAATGGCCCTTCGAGTGCCATGACTAAATCAACCGATGCAATAATGAGACAGCGTGTCGATCGCGAGCGGTTCGTTTGGCCGTGGTCGCTGGCAGTTCGCGATGGGAGGATCGCCTCCCTTAAAAACCACAACAGACTTCGACAGTAACGTTTGCTGAGCGCCTCGGCCGATCAAGTTGGTCGCTAATGGAGAAGGAGGGCGCGGTGGAGAGATGATCCCGTTGGCGGAGCCAAGTAAAGCGGTGCCGAGCTGCGCGACAGGTCTCGTCAGGCCGGCCTGGTGGTCTTTTGAGCTGTGCCACAGACGAAGGGCTAGCTCGTGGGAAAGGGCGAAGCTTGGAGGAAAGGACGGCAGGCACTCTTAAGGCAGATGACCCAGAAGATGGTGGTGGGTTGAGGAGGGATTGGGGGATGGGGGTAATGGTGGTGGCCAAGGGTCTAGTCTGCGGCCGTCTGTGCCTCCCACCAAGGTGACCGGGGCCAGGTAGCTCGGTACGGAAGTGCGCCTGTCGACAATTTCCAGAACCTCCAACGTCCAGGGGACCCAGGTTCGCCCAGGGGAGCGTGGAATTTACGGAGACGGAGGTTGGGGTCAGCTTGACGGTGCCCGTTTAGTGAATTGGAAAGGCTAGGATGGCGCCTCTACTTTGACTACTAGATGTGTGGTGATGCTAGCTGTCAGAGCTACTGCTGGTGCTGCTGTCTGTGACTGATGAAGAATCAATTCAGCTGCGACCTAGTTAGGCGGCTAGGCGCTAGTCGCGAGAAAGCGAGGTTTGCAGCTCACAACGGGATTGCTGGACTGGCTCAGATATCCAACTGGAGTCACTTACTTGCTTACCGTTGATACGAACTTGAATATCCAAGTTGTAGTTGATGTGTAACTTGGAACGCGCATCACGGAAGAGCTGGCGACTCACTCACGACGAGCCAGTTGGACAGGGATTCCCCGATAGATCAAAGGCAGAGCGCGGTGGACGCAAATGGACAAGCACCCTGCAGCAGATGTGGTGAGTTCTGAGTAGGGTGCTTCATTCAACATGACAGCCATGGAGACGAGTTCACCAGTAGAATTGGAGAACGACCCAATGACTCTGCCCTACGAACATGTACCTGGATCAAGGGCACGAGGAACAAGGTATGGCAGCCCAAGGCATGCGGATGTGGTGTCAGGCAGGTACCGTCCTCTTCGCCCGAGGTAGCTCGATGATGCCGGGGTACTTTGTAAGCCTGGTGTGGAGGAGGGGACGGGAAAGATGGTACAGAGTAGCACCATTCAGGTTTGCAGCTGCGCGTCTTTTTCCTTGAGCAGCTTCAAGACAACCCTCTGGGGAAAGGCGGCCAGTGGGAGCGTGCGCAGACAGCGTGATGTTGCGAGACGGGGTATCCAAGTGGAGTGGTGGGCTGCAGGGAACGCGACAGGCGTCGGCGCTTAACAGCCTGCACCCACATGGTCCGTTGTCGAGTCACAGTCGTTCCCTGCCTGATATGCCTCCACCGAGGTGCTTCCAAGAGCTCCGCTGGTGGGCAGCTCCTTTGAAGCTAGGCCGGAGCCAGCCTAGAACGACAGCGTTGGTGATCGTGAACCTTGTGAAGGTGGGCACCGCGCGATTCCCGATATCCCAGGCAGGCTATGTTCTGATGCGAGGGCAACAATCGGATTGTCATGCGGTCTGGGTCTCAATGCGGACACGCGTGGCTCCTCACTGGCCTTGCGACCCAAGGCGCTTGAGCGCTAACGGGAGGGAGCAAGTCCTGCTCGCCCGGCTATCGCTGCAATTTCATGACGAAGAAAAGGAGCCTTTGCATGCTGCACAGGCCCGTCGAATCCGTGCTGACGAAGAGCTGTCCCACTGCCTGTCCAGGTAAGGCGGGAATGTTTCGGATGTGATGTGCTACTATTGAGGTTGGTCGATGGCCAGCCAGAGGGAACGCATGCCGGGCACAAGCTCCGGGCAGAAACTGCAGGCATTATACCCATGTTGGTCATGGAAAACATGAACTGCCCGTGGTCTTGGCACCCCAATTTAAACACGTCTTACCGTTCGCCAATCCCATTGTCACTTGGCCTCTCGCTCATCGTAGGTTTCGGTCTCGGCAGTTGATCTCACTCTGCCAGTGTCGTCTCTGTAAGCGACGTTGGGTGTCAGCTTCAACAAGTCTTGAAGCTGCGTTTTTCTGATGAAGCCGCCACAGTAGTAGCATCCTCCTAGGCAGAACCAGCCTTGTCATCTCTTGATGTCCGCAGAGGGGGCGGGAGAGAGAGAGAGAGAGGCTGGGGAAGGCTAGAAATTGTCGCCAGATCATGTTGGCCCGACGGTCCAGGATGGAGAAGGAACCGTAGCGGACCACGGAAGAGGGCTGAATGTCAAGTCCAGCAGATGTGTATCGCTCCCAGGGATCTGGTCCGGCGGCTGTCTATTCGTGTGGGAAGGCAGGCCAGGTGTGCTTGTGGGGCCTTCCAGCAAACAGAGGGAAAGCGCCTATGGCATGTGGCGGAAGGTGCATCCTTGTAGGCCTTCTAGGTTGAGACAGGCAGACGCGGGGTCACTGACGATCAGCTATGTGCTACTACGCAACTTGTTTTGGGCACGCTTTGTGAGAAAAGTCGAATGATTCCGACCACGGTAGATAGAGGCAAGCAAGTATTGGCAGACGTTTCGTTCCTCTCTTTCTCCACTGCAATTGATGGTGGGAATCTCAGGTCGAATCGAGTACGCGACACCGTCAGGCGGTATTGGACCTTTGAAGAACAAACAGCATCGTGTCTAGATGCCCTGGCCCTCCGCCGTCCCAGCCAGCTGTTTTGGTGATGTGATTATGTCTCCCCTATCACGGCGCTAGGAGGTCTTACGGCCGGTAAATCAGCCCGTCCCAAATATCGGGTCACGACCACAGCCTAGACCCGATCCTGTTGCCGTATGATCCTCCATGGTCCAGCATTCTGTTGCTCACCGCCGATGATTGACACGACACCTTTTTCCATTCAAGTCCACTACCAGGTATCTTTTTTCATTACCTAGACATCCGGGATTTCTTTTCGACCCGTCGACCAATGCACTACCGCTTGAGCACGAAGATGCGCCAAGGCCATCGAGACACACAACTTGCCTGCCATGCCGACCTCTTCGTCACGTACGCGAACCACATTACCTTGCATAGGCGCCAGCATCCTTGACACAGTGTCGAAAAACACTGCCACAAGCGATTTTCCCTGGTTACAGATCCAGTACATGTGCTCATCGTCTGGCCAAGCGAATCCTTCCGCGGCTACTAGGCCCATTGCGTTCGTCCCGTTCCTCCAAATCGCGTGAACACCTCATCGTTAATGCTGCGCGTCGCTTCGTGTACTTTGAATATCCCAAGAGAAGCTATGACATGATAAGAAAGGCCTATGTCTCGTCTCAGTCAAAACAATGCATCGCGTCGACGAGATGCAAGCCGGCATGACGGTGGACCTCTGCTCTGTTGGGCCAATCCCCTCGCCTTGTTGGTGGCTTTGTTTTGCGTCTTGTTGGTGTTGGATGTGCCATCTCGGCGCCTGAGTAACCTCGCCGACAACAACGCAGGCATCGACAGCCCGCGGATGTTGCTCTTCTTCCGGAAAGTCAGTTGGCGATGCTTGCGGCAAAAGCTGTGCCTCGTGCAGGTCGTGTTTTGAGGGCCGACATGCCGCAGTAAATGCACTCCACCCAACGTAGACGACTGCTCAATCTTGCAGTGGTGGGTAGCTCCAGTCAAAGGGAGTTTTTTTTTGTGTTGGCCAAGGCTCTTGTTAGACCTCGTTGCTACTTGGTATGATGTACAAAACTCCCGATACGCATTTCGACACCGAGCGCCAGCTCTCTCTTGAATGTGGCATGCCCAAAGATCGTAGCCGACAGGAGACATTTGTGACCTATGTTTTTCCAACGAGGTTCAAAACTGCCTGTAGAACCCAATCTCCCATCACTACTACCAGCGTGGTGGCCGACAATGGTCAGACGCGGCCCATTATCTCAACGGCGGAACATCATCTGACCGCCATATCAAGAGTCTACTTGGCGTGATATCGTAGATGAAAGAGGTGTACCAGGGTCGAAAGTAAACCCTGCTGGACTACTGCAAGTCCCCTTGCCGAAGAAGGTATGCTCCACAGAGCTGGCCGTCTGGTGTTGGCCCAAGCACAGCCGCCGGCAATAATCCTCAAGCGCAGCGGCGCTTGGGGAACGCAAGTTGGACAGTGAAGCAACATCAAACCAACGAGACAGGCAGGGATTTCATGCTCGAAGGATCGATGTGGCTTTGCGATGCTATGTTACTGTCATTCACATGACGAGCAGGGCACCGAGTGGGTGGTAACACTCGGCCTTCGCCAACGAGGAACGCCCCGTCGACGCCCCTTTTTTGACAGGTCTGTTATGGCAAGAGCCGTGAAATGGAAAGCAGACGCGAAGATGAGCTCATTTGTATTGTGTATTCTTAGGCAGACTTCCAGGGCTGTGCTTGACGGATGATACCTAGACTGGTATCATCGGCAACTTACGATCCATGGCATGGCTGGTACCATAGTGATGCACCGATGACATGGCCAACACGACCTGCGTTTTGCTAGCCCCGGGGCCCTACTGATCTCACTACCTCTGGCATGACACATGACTCAATCTCCTCTGGTTTGGCCCAGTGGAGGAGGATGCCTGGCTGCATTACGGGGTGTTTGTACAGGCAGTAGTGACAGCGCTGAGAATCGACATACGCGCGTCGAGGCCCACGAGCTGAGCCAGACGCCGACTTCAGTCACTGAGCAAAAGGTCTGGCATTCGTACAAGCTTATCAGACATATTTGCCGCGTCCTAGGATTGGTGCATAGTCTCAGCGCCTGCTCTATTCCGTGGCTCGAAAACCTTCCTTCCAGTGTACCCTTAAACGCCTTGCAATGCTTTGTTCGTGTGTGTGAAGACCCCCAGGTCATTCGAATGGCCGTCTGGACGCGCCTACTTATGCGGGCAGATTGTTCTTCTTTTCGTTACGACCATCGGGAGTGTATCTGACAGTGTTAGCAGAGCCACTCTGAAGCTCTGACGTGGCCACCACACGTACTTCAGAAGCTTCTCGATCAGATCAACGTGGGTCATGATCATGCGACGGCAGCAGTATCGCTTGAGACCGAGCTCGTCCATAGCGTCTCTGTCGCATCCGTTAGTACTGGCCCCTCCGTGGAGTATTGATCCTCATCGTACCCATCAGCGATACCGTCGTCAATGAGCTTCAAGTAGCGCTCCCACAAGTCGCCTGTCACCTGTGATAACATCAATGGTGTGCCTTGCGACAATGGCGCAGGGGCTAACCAACCTTGCCGCAAGAAAAGCAGCGAACCGGAATGATCATCTTGGCGGCGTCGTTCAGGCGTTATCGGTATTATAGAAATTGAGGCATCCACCGTGTGTAAGGGTTACCGAGAGTCGGCTTTCTCGTAGGGGACGATGCTCGGCGAAGATGATCGTCGTCGCTGATTGAAGACTGTCGTCGCGAGAAAGGCGTGAGAGCCGTAGCCGTGGTATGGAGAAATTTCCTGGTGTAACGGGCATTCACCGGGTAATCCTTATCTTATCGCACGCTGGAGGTGGGGTGAGTTCACCAATCATGTGGTGCGTCTCTCTTGCGGCCCCGAATTTTCAAGCGGGACTGGGCCTGGCAGCAACTTTTTTTTCTGAAGGCCTGCATTTGGAACTGCGTGTGAGCACTTCTGTGGTGATCAACGGTTGCCTCTGTATTCCACATTGCCCTGAACGACAGGACCAGCGCAAAAGGACAACGTGATGGTCGGCAAGACAGATAAGAAGCCCCGCGCGGGAGACGTGGACCCGAATAAAAAGAGGAAGCGTGACGCCAGCGACAAACAACGAAGCTCCGACATCAAGCGCAACCGCAAGGACGAGAAGCAAACCACGCCCAAGTCGGACAAACGAACATCGGATGCCAACGAACTCAAGGGGAATGCGTTGAAGGTTCTGTCCGAGTTGCAGAACGGCGAGACTGCGAATACCACCATAAAAACGAGAGACCAGAGTGAACTGCAGTCTGCGGGCGAGTCCAACGGCTGGAAGATCTCATCGCCATTGGGTGGCAGAATCGCTGATATCGACCCCGTTTTCAGCAGCGATGCGAAGTATGTTACATTGCAACTGCTACAGCACTCGTCTAACATGAAACAGGAACCTCATTCTCACATACCACACTTCCATTCAAGTCTACTCTGTAGCAGACTCTCTCCTCGTCCGACGAATCCTCCTACCGATTGCGAAAGACAACAAAGATGGCCCTGCTGCCTCGGTTCTCACCACTCATCTCTCGCCCGTGGAACCAGACTTCGTCTGGGTTGGGTGCTCTGATGGAAGGATATGGAAATTCAACTGGAGACGGGGTATCAAGCCGGAAGATACCCTGATAACAAAGTCTCATACTGCACTGGACTTCTGCGTTTCCGCGATCAAGGTCAACGAGGAACTTCACGATGTTGTCTTTGTGTCGGAGAAAAAGCAAAATGACGAGGGCACCATTGTTGCATACTGCCGCAAGGGCGCTTCCCACCTCGCATCCCAGATTCTTTTCAAGACCGTCCGACCGGACCAAGCGATACATGTGCTGCGCGCCACGGCTGATGGAAAATATGTGGTCGGTGCCCACTCCGAAGGCCTAGTGGTCGGAACAATCACTGGGAAGGACCTGGAACTAGAAGGCGACTTCTTCAACTTCGACACAAGTGACATCATCTGCACTTTGGATCTACGGGTCACTAGCCGTCAACAAGGCCTCTCGACACCCAAGAAGCAAACTGTCAAACCCAGCTCAGAGGTTCTCGATGTCATTATTGGATGTGGCCGAGGCTCTATCTTCTTGTATAACGACATCATGACGAAGCTGCAGAGCATGCGCGGTCCCAAGCCCAAGCAAAAAGAGGTTCAGGCCAGGAAGTTTCACTGGCACAGGCGGGCTGTTCGCAGCGTCAAGTGGTCAAGAGATGGTGAGCGCTCCATTGGGTTCCTTTGAGGGCCCGTCACTAATTTTCTCTCAGGTCACTATCTAGTCTCCGGTGGCTCCGAAAACACACTCGTCCTGTGGCAAGTTGATACTGCCATCACCACGTATCTTCCCCATCTTCCCGGCGCTATTGAAAACATCGTTGTGTCACCGAGCGGCGCGCATTACGCAGTTCACCTTGACGATAACTCGGCAATGGTCATCTCGACCTCTGAAATGAAGCCGGTCACGTACGTGTCAGGAATCCAATCTGCAGCCCGGTACTTCGCACAGCCTAAGGATACACTGGTGAAGAGGGTGGGAGAGGTCTCAAAAGAAGTCCGCCACCCTATTCCGGCAGCTCTCAGCCCTCTGGACGCAACGAAGCTGCATGTTTGTGTGGGCACGGGTCAGCAGGCCATGATGTCTGGGTCACAACAGTCAGCACCCATTCTTCAGTCTTTCGACCTTGATTCCTTTACCAGTGTTTCCAAGCAAGCATTAGCAAGGACACAGCCCACGGATGTAAACATTACGGCGCAGGGAAATCCCATTTCCGAACCGGCTATCACACACATTGCCTTTTCCTCGGATGCGCGATGGCTGGCAACAGTGGACGACTGGTCGCCGCCTACGGGAGACATCGACAACATGTCGCCTGACGCGAAGGAGCACCTTGTGCAAGAGCGTCGTGAAATCTACCTCAAGTTCTGGTCGGTCTCCGCCGAGGACGAATCCCTCGCTCTCACTTCACGCATCAATTCGCCTCATTCCACCAGCAGACCTGAGACCGTCCTTGCGCTGGCTGCCGATCCTGCCGCGCCACGATTTGCGACCCTGGGAGATGACGGCCTGGTCCGAATCTGGCATTTCAAGACGAGGCAGACTGATGGCCTGACTTCGAAAGATACCAAGGGTCAATCTTTACAGTCTTGGTCTTGCGGCCTTACGGTTGGCATGGGCAGCCATGTCGGGGCAGACGTGATCCCTGCCCCCGAGGGCCACAAGGCAGCCAAACGAAGCGGTAGCATGAGCTTTTCAGAAGATGGCTCGTCGCTGTTTGTTGCCTTTGGAAGCCGGGATGATGGGACTGTATACATCGTCGACACGCACACTGGCGAGACACGTATGATGCTGGAGAATATGTGGAAGGGCGATGTCCGTTCACTGCAGGTTCTCTCTCCGTACATTGTCACCCTGTCCAACGACCTTCGGGTCTATGATGTCGTGGCCGACGAACTGCAGTACGGCGTAAAGTTGCCTAAGAGGGATGCTTCCTCGGTGCCTGCAGCTTTTGCTCATCTACAAGTCGATAAGAAGTCCCGCACTTTCGCCATGGTCGTTCCATTCACATACTCTTCCCAGATTGCGGTCTTCAAGCCGGAGGACCCTCAGCCTCTCTGCATCGAGACGGTCCCCCACCGCATTACGAGCTTGGTGTCATCTGCGAGCTCCTCGGGCTTCGTAGCTCTGGACGATGCTGCTCAGCTCTGGAGCGTCACTGAGGTTTCGGACCAGTCTGCAATCTCCCTCGCCAAGCCTCTCGAAGATCTGCGTCTCGACACGACGGTTGAGGATGATGCGATTAACGGCGACGCCGATGAGGATGATCAGGCCAGCGAGATCGATTTTGCTACGGACGGAGACAACATGGAGCTGGATGATGACGAGACACACACCGCGATCGTGAGCAGGCAGAAGCTCGCCGAGCTGTTTGACGCTGCGCCGGCCTTCGCCATGCCGTCAATCGAGGACATGTTTTACAAGGTCACCGGACTACTGACCACGAAGCCGCTGGCAAGCACTGCTGCTTAGAATTGTATGCAAGGCGTTCTTGAATCTATGCTGGGCATTTTGACGGGTTTGTCTGTTTTTGCATGAGCAGGGAAGAATAAAAGGAACAACGGCGGAAGATGAGGGCCGTTTCCTGCCGACAGAGGTCGGATCGGCTAGCCAAGACATGCGGGGTTGAATGTCAAAAAACACTGGCGAAGGGCGCCGTAGACCGATAGCCGGCCGGAATAAATAACGCCATCCGTCCACTTGATGAGATGACTGGACAGTGAAGCGCATATATCATTTTCTTAGGTTCAATCCTCAACATCATTCGATTCTGTCCATACCAATCGTTTATCGGTCCACCAAGTCACCACCCCTCAATAAAACACCCCAGCAAGCACACACGCACGTCTATTATCTGCGAAGGGGGTTTGTGGCACCTACGTCAAGTCGGCACAGCACAAGTCACAAGGTCGCCACCAACTTTCAACATGTCCTTCACATCTATTCCGATTCTTGACCTCGCGCTCGCTCGTGATCCCGAAACGAAACCCAAGTTTCTTGAGGATCTCCGCCATGCACTCCTGGAAGTCGGCTTTCTGTATCTCAAGAATGTCGGCATTTCGGATGAGCTCTTCAATCAAGTCATTGCAGAAGGGAAGGGCTTCTTTGAGATTCCCCAGGAGGAGAAGTGAGTGCGGCTCGGTCCCAAAGTTGCCAAAGTTGCCCCACCTCGTCATCGTGACTGACGCGGATTCAGACTGAAAATTGAGATGAAGAACGCAAAATCGTTCCTCGGGTACTCCCAGCTCTCAGCAGAGATCACAGCCGGTGCCATCGACCACAGAGAGCAGATTGACCTCTCAACAGAGCATCCCGTCCCGGGTCCCCTGGACCCCCTCTACTACAATCTGCACGCCCCCAACCAGTGGCCCTCGCCTTCGGTGCTGCCGAACTTCCGCCAGACGTTCACAGACTACATGGATCGCATGGGCGCCATCTCCGTCGCGTTTACGTCCCTCATCGCCGAGGCAATCCAGCTCCCGGCGGACGCGTTCAACAAGTACTTTGACGCCCACCAGCAGCACAAGCTCAAGGTGGTCAAGTACCCCGGACCTGCAGGAGCTCGGCCTCGGCGACGCCCAGGGGCCAGGGCCGTCGGCCCGCACAAGGGACAGCATGCTGACTAGCTACCTCTTTGCAGGCGAGTGCGCACCG